TTTTTTTTGTCTCGAGCAATGTATTACTTTGACATAAGTTTTGAGTATTTGTTTGAAGGAGAGTGTGAACCCTACCACAAGCTAGTTTAATGGTTTGTCATAACCTCTGTTTGAAGTATAGATAGGTTCATTTTGTTTCATGTCAATTACTTTTTGTTTCATGCTTATGTTAAACAAATTTATATGATTTCCTGTGAGAGCCGTTTCTGTTTGTATATATACCATGGTATGGAATATGAGCTAATTGGATATTGGATATTTTATTAACCTCCAGTTTATAATATATCACTAACTTCTGTAGAAACTCAATTGAATGTGATATAGAGATGTCTGCATGTGATCAGCTAATTGTTAGTGATATTAGGCATGTGATAAAAGATATAGTTATTGTATGTCTTTGAGATTATGTGGTTTATTAAATAGAATAAAAAAGTATAACAAATTGGACTATTTTTGTAAAAAACGAGAAATAAAAAAACAATAAAATAGAAAATTCACATTTCTCCTCTTCAAAATAATTTTTATCGTCTTTCATTAATAAATATTGTCACAAGTTCTCACAATGGTATATTTATATATTAATGTTGATGTTTATTCAATAAATAATAAAAGTCTACAAGATTCTTGAAAAGTCTAAAGAAATCTGTAGAAGTCTTGAACAATACCACATGTCACTTATGGGGATTTCTAATAAGTTCTACAAAATCCATAAAAACCGATAAAATCTCATAAAATCCTATTCTTAGTAAAATCCTAAAAAGTCTTTTAGAATCTTGAATTAATACACCCCTCTAAGAGCCACTCCAATGCTGCTTTAGAATAGCGCAAAAAGCTGAAGTAGCGTGAAAAAATATCTCCAAGGCAGCGCTATATTTTAGCGCTAGATCAGATAAATAAACAGTACTGCGCCAGTTCTAGCGCAGTACTGTAGCAGAACGCCAGAATTTTTTATTTTTTTTTTCTTTTTTTTAATGTATTATTAATGATAAATTTTTGATAATGTATATTAATAAATATGTTTTTATGTTAAATAACTTTGTGCAATGTATTTTTTATGCTAAATAATTTTGTACTTTTTATTTATTGATGTATTATATATTTATATTGTAATTTTTTAATATTAAAATAGTACCACATGAATAAAAGTTTAACACATTCGAACAAGTAAATTTGCACTAATTCATATATGGTCTAAACCATATATGGTCTAGTGTGTAAACTTGCACTAATTCATATATTTTCAAAAGTAATAGTTTTGATTCAATCCGTACATAGATGTGTATGTATCTTTTTTAAGAAATTCAATTTATTACAATCATTTTTTAAATGTGAAATAATAGTATTGAGGAAAATAATAATACTTTAAAGGATGTATATTAATTTTATTTTGTAATTTTTTAATATTAAAATACCACCAAAAATGAATATAAGATGAAATATACATATATTAGAATTTATTTGAAATAAAAATGAATAAAAAAGATAATAAATTTGAATCAACCGTAGGATTCTTATCTAAAGATCAATGGCTAAGATCATATATATACATAATAAAATTTGCACAAGATATGGTCTAAACCATATATGGTCTAGTGTGTAAATTTGCACTAATTCATATATGGTCTAAACCATATATGGTCTAGTGTGTAAACCATATTTTTATTTTTTTTACTATTTGGGTAATAAACATTTATATAATATTACATATTCATATATATAGCAAATTATTCGAAATAAAAATAAATAAAATATATTTTTATTATTTGAGTAATTAATATTTTATATAAAATTAAATATACATATATACCAATTTATTTGAAATAAAAAATGAATAAAAAAATAATATATTTAATGTAGAGTAAAATGTAGAGATAAGGGCTGGAGATGAATGTTCAACTCTACTCTAGAGTAGAGTAAAATCCGCGCTAGAGTATAGATAAGGGCTGGAGATGACCTAAGTTTTTGGCTGACTCTACTCTAGAGTAGAGTAAAGAGCGATGCCTGAAAATCTGGGCCGACGTGCGGCCACTTTCTCTTCCTCGCCTGCAGTGATGTGATTGCCGAAAATTGCGGTTCGACTCCGCCGAAAGAGTGGTGGCTTAATTCTTAAGCAACAAAATTGATCTAACTAGCAATAAGAATGAAAGATCAGAGAAAAAAAAAGAACAAAGAAAATAAGTTACAAACAACCACAAGGTCATGCATAACACTCAAACTGTAACGTAAATTGATAATGGGAGGTATAATAAAAGAATAAAATGTAAACCAGAGAAGCCCATACTAGAATAAAAAGTCATGATTGAAAGAGGAAAAGCAGTAGCAACTCATTATTTTTTATGTGATAAATGAATTTCTTACTTTGAGTTTCTTGATTACTTATATCGGCATTTCATATTTATTCCCTAAATGAAGAGAATTTCAATTCGGTCTGTAGTCTGTAAATAGGGAGAGAGAAGAACTCTTGAGGCTTGTCAATAAAGCGGTAACTAACTATTCTCATTATTCACTTGAAGATAATCTGTGCATGAATCTGAATAGGCTGAGAAGGATGAGTACTCAACATTTTAGGAAGCTTTTATGATATTCTTAACCATTACCTGTCTCTTAGATAGTTAATCATTGCTTTGTGAAAGATCCATGTTATATAGTTGATACTCCCCCAGGTTTAAATGGTTATATATAACTGTAATGATGATTGTATGATAAAGTTACGCTTGGTTAGAAAATAAGTTTTGTAATGAGCAACATTCTCTTTTTTTAGTGGTGGACTTGAGTTTTTGGGTGAACCATGTTATATATGTTGTTTTCTCGATTAGTTTGGATTCTTGTTTTCGAGACTGTCTAAAGGAAGTTCAAGAGGATAAATCAAAAGTTCTATCCACGGGATAAATTTTGGGCGTAAAAGCTAAAAAAAAGTGCTCTTATGTCTAGACGTTTGGTTGGTTTCAGTGAGATATCATTTTGGTAAATGAGATTTCTTAGAAATGGGAGATTACCTGAAGAGCAGGTGACATGTATAAGTTTAGAAATGCTTGCATTACTTGAAAATAGCATAAATCTCTACTTTTTGGTAGGCAAAATGATATTATTTTTTACCTAAACATTTGTTTTTGGATTCAGAATTGAAGAGAAACAGGACCACTACAATCTGCTGGACCGCGATAAGTCATTTGGTTTCTTCACATGGGTAATCAAAGTTGTATACTTTATTTGATATTCTTCTATGATAATGTCTTTTTACTATCTCATAAATTTTGAGATTATGTAGATCAATCAAAATCATATATTTATATGGGTTTGACTTAGCATCTGCTGGAAAAATAAACTCCAACACCAACCAAGAATGTGCACTGCTACTGCCCAATAAATTATTATTATTGTTATCCTCATTTGGATTTCTTTGAGTTGGGTCGGCAAACATATTCTCTTCCTTGCATTTGTTTGGAAAAAATATAAAATAAGAAACCAACCCTAACAGCCAATAATTTTACATCGGGTTAACACATTTTTATATGACTAATAAAAAAATGGTTGGCATATTTTCACTTCTTATTTTTAATTTGTGGAGTATATGATTACAGATGCGTAGAAACTTATCAAGTCATTTAAGTATTGCGTGCATATGATTTGCTTGAATTCTGCTGCATGGTTATTTAAATTGTTTCTGTGTGCTACCTGCCATTGTGTTATTTGTGTTTGGATAGTTCAGAGTGCTCAATGTGTGAATAACAAATGAATTCCACTTAAGTTAGTGGTGTTTTGTTCGAACTGCACTCTTTCCTTCGTGAGACAGAGCAACAAACCTGTTTTAGTTTCCCTTTTCGTTAGTTATTTCCATTTATTGTGAAGAATAATGGTTGTCAGGTGTTAGCCATTTGCATTTCTTTGATGTCCAATGGTTGTCAAGTTTTAGAAATCCCATACAGCGGTCTCCTGCTAGAATAAAAAATTTTCTGTCGGCCCTTTGTACGTTCCCAACGTCCTATGTTATGGAGCAATATCTTATATATTTTTTTTTCTAGAATTTTGTGGCATTTCTTATGTTAGCACAATCGATAATTCGATATTTTAGTCCGCACGGGAGACCGTGTATTTGGTCACAGTCCAGGGGTATTGCTTCAGAGTTCAGATCACTCAAGAGGCCAAAAGGCAAACATATAATATATTTTCTATTTCAGCCTATTGAACTGATGTCGAATATATAAGCCTATTGCAATCATGTATTATTAAGATGTTGAGATACAAAACGCCTACAATGTTGGAGCTTGGGATCTGTTATTGGAAGTTCAGTCGAACTATGTATAATGTACTCCATTGTTTGTGTGTGTGTATGTTCAGTCTCTTCTTCCGAGTATCATAAGTGGCCCCTCTATTAGATTCTGTTTTATGATGCCTGAAAAAGGTATTTGGGACATTATTTATTACAAGGACATTATTCATCCAATATTTAGGAATATACATTAGAACAAAAAAAAATTGAAATGTTCCATTGCTTCTACTTTTATTGTTGTTTACATTAAGACTACGTGTCCGGGCTCGGCTCGGAGCCCGTGGGATGCCCTGCAGGCACATCTGACCTGAACACCAGTAGCAGTGTTGGGAAACGTATATCAAGCACCACAATCTTGTTGTTGTCCATTATGATGGTGGTCCCACCTGAGCCTTTCATGTCTAATTTTTATGTCCAAATCCATAGCGCCTTCAATAAGTGTGAATCATTTGGCTTGCTCTATTGCTCTATTCAACTATTTAGATTAATTATATCTTTAATCTTGATCTGGAGTAATGTTATTGATTCTTAGTGTTTTCATTTGCGTTATCAGATCTTTTTACCTATGCAAAAGCTGAAGATTTTGGTGGGGTCTAAAGAGTATATGAATATTTGCATACAACAAAGTAATGGTAGGAAAAGCCTGACAGATGTGCAGGGTTTAAGAAGGAGTTTAGCTACAATGGAATCCTCAAGGGCCTGAAGAAGGAAATTGGCTGCAGGACCCTGAGCTGTCTATCCAACTATAGAACCTTATTTATAATATTATACTTAATCTTTTCCATGATGCATTTATGCCAGTCCTTTTACATGCCTTTGTTGCGTAATTCTAATATCCGCTGGAATTGCAAAAGAGCTAAGAATAAGAATTGTCTGCCCTCATTCGTTTATTGAATTTGTTGTTTCCCTTTGTATTTAACAGGTTGTGGAAGCAACAAAGAATGTGTACCTTAGGAAATGGAGAGTTGTCACAACCAATACAACCGTCAATTAGGAAATGACAATTAATTAGGAAATGAAAACAAAATTGTCGAAGGGTGAATTACGAAGTTTATGCTTCTTCCACATGAAAGAGTTGATCTTACGTTACAGTATATAAACAAATTATATCAAACTTTATTGCTTTATGCTTTTGTGTCCACTAAAAACTAAATTTGAGTTGGCTGTGTGTACAGCCGGTAAACCACTAGTATATCAACTACTACGATGTTCGTGTACTACACATGTACGTAAATATATTAATATTTGTACAATAAGAAAGCTAAAATAATTTATATTTATAATGCAATATTATGTATAATGAATATAAAAAAATAATGAATAACTAACAAAAGTAATAGTTAATTCAAAATGGGGTTCGTATTTTTGCACTTATTTTTCTTATATTATTTAAAATCTATGATAAAACGCATTAAAATGATTAGTTTATGGTGTATTACTGAATTAGATTTTTATTATATTTTTTATAAAATAATTTATGTTGTATTCATATTTTTGAAATTATTTTTTTAGTAAATTTAGTTTTATTTATAATGATAGTTGTAATTATTTTTTATTTTATATATGCAATATGAATGTCAAATCGAAGATCATTAAAATATGATTATTTTGAGATATAACATATGAAAATAAAATAAAATTAAAAAAATTATAAAGATTTAAAAATAAAAGAATACATATTTATTATATTATATGAATTAAATAAGAAAGAGTAAGAGAAGTATTATGGTAACTTGAGAAAAAAATCTAAAATAGTTTATGGCAATTCTCAAGCCTAAAACCGAACATGTACACGTGTCAATACAAAGCGATTTTTAAAATTATCATTAATATCTTACTAGTACAACACCCGTGTACTACACGGGTTGTTTGAAAAAAAAAATATAAAACATAAAATAATAGAAAAAACACATGTTGTCGAATAAAAGTGCAAAAATAGAAAATACCACCTTTTGTTTATAAATATATTAATTGATAAATAATTTTATTTTTCTAATTAGTATTAAAAAATGTTATTATTGTTATAAAGATAAATATAATTTATTTACAAGTAAACTTCCGAAGCGTGCGAGCCAGCCATTTAGGCTCAACACGTTTTGAAATTATATTAAGGGGGGATGAATATCTTTTACCCTTGCACTTTATAAGCTGCAGTTATTATATTTATGAAATTTATAACAATTAGATAAATGGCACGCACGCATAAGTGTTAATGTGAAGGTATAAAATTAATTATAAATCAATAATTTGTATGAATACAAAATCAAAATAAATATTTAAAAATATGAATTTGTGCACCTTAAAATGTACACTATTCATGAAAAAATTGGATCGACCTAGCAATATTCGTGCAAATAAATATTCATGAATAGTTGTTACAGTTCAATAAAAAAGTCTTACTTTTCTATATATAAATTATTTTAAAATATTTGTATAAATATTTTGGAAACATGGTAAAAATATTTTCATGGATGTTAAAATTGAATTTATTAACATGTTTGAAATTTTTACCATCCTTTTTATAACATTCTAATTTTATATATAACTTTTTTTGATAATATTTTTGTGAATAATTTTGAAATATTTTATAATTGTCTTGATAATCAACATGTTTTGAAATTATATTAAGGGTGGATGAATATCTCTTACCCGTGCATTTTATAAGGTGGAATTATTATATTTATGAAATTTATTACAATTAGATAAATGGCACGCGTCGGTGCCATTTATCATCAAAAAAATAGAACCGATAAATCGATACAAAACCAATTTTTCTTACATGCTTCAATCCCAATGTCGCTCGTGTCAGTGTGGACCTCGAACAAAACATCGAACTTCGGCATCGCAAGTACGGGCGTGGTGGTCATTGCGCACGTCTCACTCGAACGCCGTCTCACTCGCCTCGGCGAGATAAGCCTTATCTGGTGGTACCCGTCCCGTAGATCCAATTTAGAGAAATACCGCGAGCCTCCTAACTCATCCAACATATCATCAACACTGGGTATGGGAAATCGGTCCTTGACGGTGGCGGCGTTCAAGGGTCGGTAGTCCGTGCAGAAACGCCACGTGTCGTCCTTCTTCTTTGCGAGCAGCACCAGTGACAAGAATGGGCTCGTGCTGTGTTGAATCAGTCCGATCTCGAGCATCTCTCCAACTTGATTCTCGATCTCTGCCTTTTGGAAGTGCACGTATCGGTACGGGTGAACATGGATTGCTCGGCCTTCGTCGATGAGTGGGATGCGGTGATCGTACGACCTCCTCGGCGGTAAACCCTTTGGCTCGGCGAGCACGTTGCCGAACTGAGCGAGTAGGTCCTGAATATCCTTCTCGTGTGGTGATGAGTCCTCGGGTCCCTCCGTATCTCCCTCGATCATGACGGCAAAAATCTGACTTCCACCTTTCCATAGCTTCTTGATGCTCTTTAACCCGATCTCCTTAGCGCCATCATCGACACTTTCTTTCAGAACTACCCAGCGATTACCTGCATCAAACTTCATGTCTCCTTTACGATGGTTGGTGGTCACATCATCGAGTTGTAACACCCCGCCTTGACTAGGTTTGACTTTTGAAAATCAGAGTTAATTTTTCGCTTTTATTTTCGACATACCGTGCGAGTTTATTTTCGAAAATACTTTCTTAATTGCGTGATGCTACGAAAACTTTCTTAACTTACTATTTCGGACTTAATGAAAACATGCAATCAATCAACCACCACGACGATAATGAAATTATACATACAGTCCGATAGTCTCGCACTACTTAGTCTAGCTGAAGCTTTAAACTGAAACATACATAACACACGCATACTTAATAATATATGTTCATGAATTTAAGGCATAAAATGCATGTAAAAATGTCCTCTGCTCATGACCACGATTGCCACGTCTGCTCACCCGGCACACTGGATTCCGACACCTGAAATAAGAAAACTGTGGGAGTGTGAGCACATCTGAATGCTCGTGGGAGAACTAGAACTGTAGACATAAACTTAAAAGCAACATAATAATAAATATGATTGCTGAAATGTAACTCTTCTTATACTTCATTTGTGGTCCAAAAGACCCTTATAGGCCCTTCCTTCGTCTGCTCGTGTGCACAACCGTACATGAGGCCCTCAGCCTCATACCGGGTACCAAGGGGAAGATTAAGGCCCTCGACCGCCAAACCTTGGGAGAAACTTAATATCTCTACCATAAACGGAAATTCAACCGTTCGGGTAAATAACTTACTCGCGTACCTTATACATGATAACTGACATGCGCAATGTAATGCCCTGTAAAGGCTCCCACCTGATATGCTGAAATATCTGACGCAAGTGCTGACTGTAGTAGCTGTCGGAGGCTCGACTCTCCTTAAGCTACATAAACATATAAGCAATAATTGCTAAGTACGATGCTCGAAATATTTAATTATTATGCTAAGATGCTTGTTTATATACCGGACGAAATACTGGGCTAAGGGTTCGCTTAAAATATACTAAGTCTGGATTTATAACTGAAATACTTAAACTGGCGGGTTGGCTTGGAAAAATACTTAAACTCCGAAATAAAATTTGGACCAGAACTCGCGAACAAAAAATCTAGGCTCGAACCGCCGGTCGAACCAGCCGGTTTGCTTACTGGCCGGGCCGCCAGCTTGGGCTGAACCGGGCGGTCGGGCGCTGGCTCGGGCTGACTGGGCTCGGTCCCGCACCGGGCCTGCTAGTGCCCGGGTGCGGCGCTGGGCACGCTGCGTGCACTGGGCTTAGGCTGACTCAGAATAGAGGCTGCCAGGGCGCTGCTGGGCGCGCGGACAAGCACGGGGCCGGCACTACACGCGCGGTGGGCGCCGCTAGTGACCATGACCGGCCCCCTTTGGCTTTTTGACAACTTTACTAGTGACATGCAATACATACTAACATAATATGATGTAAAACACTTAAAAATGCAATGAAACCCTAAGAGACCTTGGGTCAGCATGCATGTAGTCCGGTAGGGCCGATAAGGCACATACGGACCTAGGGTCACCAAATCGACTTCTCCAACTACCATATATGACTAAGGCCGAGTTCTTAACATAATAAATCATGACTAATGAGGCTTAAATGATAGCATAAACTTGCATGTATACTAATAAGGCTCGGAGGTGAAATTTCACATAAAATCATGAACGAGTCGACCGAACCAACCTTTCTAACTTGAACATATGACTATAGCTGAGTGTTTAACCTCCTAAAACATGATTTTTTTAAGGCTAAGATGATAGGATTTTCTTGCATGCATATCATTATGGCTCGAGAGTGAAAAATGGCATAAGATCATGAGCTAGCTGACTGAACAAACGTACTCAAAAAATTCTCAAACTTATACATCTTCATTCTCATGATTTATAAGGGACATTTAGCTAATAAAATCGGCCCA